CCAGTGATCTTTACTGATTCAGACCAGATACCTGAAGGAAAGCAAAAAAAGGTAGGTACATGGGGGGGGCACCATATATATATATATTTCAACATACATGGGCCCATCTATTAGTTAACTTTGGACTGAGGAAAAATTCCAAACTCGCAACAGCTGATATCATGGGACTCCATACTAACTACGCCCCCACTTACTCCCCCCTCCCCAAGCAAGGCCTGAATAAGCTAAATAAGCCTTGTCTATGGGGTAGAGTAAGGTAGGGGGTAGTCTAGGGTCCCACAATGATAGTGCATAAACGCCAATGTTCATGAACTCTTTTGCTGAGTTGGGTTACTGTGAAGGGACTTGAAGTTAAATTTAGCTTCCATCATGAAGAATCACATGAAAATTTGAATTTAACGCAGCTCGCTATGAAATGGAAAATGGAAAATGCTATGGAAACTTTGAATCTATGTGGATTATGGGCTATGTAAGAATTTCAGGAAGTTAAACGGGTTCACCATGACATGGGTATATACATATATATATATATGTAGCAATCCACATGGTTGTCGCCTAGTGGTGACTACTAAACCCTAGACCCTAAACCCTTAACTTTTAACAGCAAGCCAAAATGCTGGACCTCCCTGCCTGAAAGCTGTTCCGCTCGTTTCGGAGATCTTCGATGTTCTTCTCACTTTCGTCTACCTGCACAGGACCCTAGGAGGACCGGGTATGCATTGGAAGAATCATCTTGTGGAGGCTAGACAGGGACCGCTATGATGAGAGAAAACCATGTGGACCCAAGTCATGGAGACTGAGAGCTGCCAGATTCAGATTGGAGGTTTCGGGTTTAGGGTTTAGGGCTTAGGGTTCAGGGTTTAGGGTTCAGGGTTTAGGGTTCAGGCTTGTTGGAGGGATTTGAGGTTGGGGCTATCCTCCCAAAAACTAGCAGGCCCACAAAGCTGAACGATTCAGAACAACATGCCACAACGGTAACTGCCATCATCGCGGCCAAAACTGAACTCAACAAATGCCCTGTTGTGTTTGTTGATGGCCAAGAAATCCTGGCTGACCCTACGCAAACAAACCCTGGGGCATATCTTGATGTATGCACCTGGGGTCGTGCAGCTTTTCTTATGGCCGCGAACATCTAAGTAGGTGTTGACATGCTCAGTAGCCTTTCAAGGCAGCCTCAAAGAGTACAAAGCCTGGGGAAGGCAGCTGAGGAACTTTGTTGGCGTATAAAACTCACGTGTGAGGGATTGTGGTAATGAAGGGCCTAAGTACTTGCTAAGATCATATTGAGGTTGAGGTTGAGGTTGAGCTGAGCTGCCCGCTACCAGAGTTACACAGAGAACCTAAGCCCTAAATTCCAAACCCTGAACACTAAACCGTACGATTGGCAATTTTTCAGGCAGCTACCTTTGCCGACTATCCCCTAATGCCTCCTTACCCACGTCGAGAGGTAAGGATGCTGGAAAACAGAACACCCTCGTGCCCGCCAAACCCTGTGACTAGCCCTTACTTTGGGGGTTAGGGTCTCTCCTTTACCAGCCCAGCATGCTGCCGCCTGAGAATAGATGACGACGTATAAATTCTTCATCTGCCGCTGGGCCCGTGAAACCCACCCAAAAAAATGACAAGCTGGGGTTTTAGGAAGTCAGGGGTTTAGGGTTTCGGGTTCCCATGCTGCTTTAGGTACCCATGGAGGTCTCCGTGTTTGATTAGGACTCTTTGGGAAGTTCGGGGCGTGGTATCTGGATGGGTATGGGTGAGGTTGCTCGAAGCATCATGTGCAACATGGAACTCATGCGGCCTTGTACTGGAGGTTGTGGAACTCCAACCTACAGGCCCAGCATGGCGCACCAAGTTTTTGGAGCTAAGTCGGAGACCGCTCAAGTCTGAAGGCAATGCGGAGGCTTATGACCCTCAAACTTTCAAGGCAAAGATACAGACGTCATCAGGAGCCCGAGACATCATGCAGCACTGCCTGTGTTAAAAACTTACAGCAGATCACAGCATGCTAAGGTCCATATTAAAGCAAAACTACCATGCGTGTATACATATATATGTATATATGCTACCCCCCCTCCCCAGGAACCCACGTTTGGGGGTAGTAATCCAGTATTGCAACATCACAAAAGCAAAAAATCAATGATGGATCTTTGTAGGAGACTATGAGGCGCCTTTAATCAGAGAAATCTCCTGCAAATTCGCAACAACTTTAACAAGGGCTTTCAATAAGGAAAAGCAACCTCAAAGATTTGAGAGACGCCGGTAATATGTATTGAAAACTTGTGTATTTTGAATATGATCCATATATGTATATGAAAAGAAACTACTGTACCAAAAAATAAACCCTTGGGAGATTGGGAAGAAGGAGCATACCAAATATTAAATACCCTCATATTAAATCCACTGGCAGAACCAAACCTTAATTCCTACGAACCGCATAGAGTTCTTTCTTTTCTCTTCACCATAAAGATACAAGAGAGAAACAACTGGCTTGAGACAGGTGGAAGCTCCAGTTCCTTGCAGGTATTTATATTGGGAAAAAGGAGCATACCAAGTATTAAATACCTTCATATAGAATACCTTTACTCATATTGTAGCGAATTAGGTAGAACCACTGGCAGAACCAAACCTTTATTCCTACGAACCGAGTAGAGTTCTCTCTTTTCCACAACAAAGATACAAGAGAGATACAATTAATTTGAGAGAGGTGGAAGCTCCAGTTCCTTGCAGGTATTTCTTTTTGATCGCACAGAAATTCAATAGAATCAGCTGGAGCTTGCTCCTGGGGGAAGGGGGTACCATATATGTGTATATGTAGTCCCCCTTAAGTAGACAGAATAGGGGACATATGGGGATCTTATTATCATATACCCTAAGCCATATTCTATCTACTTAACGGGGACCATATATATATACCACACATGAAGATAACACGGCCCAAGCAGTGCAGCCACAGCCGCCATTTCTGTCTGGAATCCTTCTCCTGGCCATGAAACCGGTGCAAAAAATGACAGAAGGATGTTGGCAAATTCCACGCGGTTTAGGGTTTAGGGATAAGAGGATGTTAGTAACTTCTACCCCAAAATACGGACCTAACCATAGTCATATGATGGCTGTAGGGTCCTAATTTTGGGGTTTGGGGTTGCCAAAGAGACCATTATGAAAGAGAGTAAACTTATTCATGCTCAGTTGGGGGACTGGATCCTGGCATAGTCGTCAAATCCCCATTATTATCTCGGTGATCCCTAACCCTAATTCCCCGACTCCCAAAGCATGCGTACTCCCTTCCCCTTCAGAATCAACCTCCCCATCCCCCTGATAAAACATGTTCCCGGATCATGTGATGATGTTATACTGGGGTATTACTCATTAGTGGGGTTGGGGGATTGGGGCGTTTCTTATCTGTCCTAAACCCTAAACCCATGGTGATGATGTAGTACTGTCCAATTCTTTTCAATTACCGATTAACCCCTAAACCCTCGAGGGGGTTTATTACTAAGGGTATGGCAGGAAGTAAAGTTGCGTGAAGACTCCGCACTGATCTCCGGCGTCATGATTCACCCGAACAATATGTCTCCCGCGCCTGAATACGAATATTGCCGGTATCATCCGGGCGGGAATAGAAGCGACAATCGGGTCATAGCTATCAAGAACCACAAAGAGCCACCAAGCAGGGCTGACCTTCGTCAGGTGGCAGAAGCCCTGAGCACACCAAATTTCTGTCCCAAAAACTCCAAGCTCCAGTACGCAAAAGGAAGGAACGCGACGCTACGGACCCTCAATCCAAAAACGAATACGCATTCAAGCTAGTACTACAACTAGTACCGTTCTTATTCTTGTTCATATTGCTACTGCCTATACCCTTAAATAGATAAAACATGAGAGGAAGAATATTAGGGTTTTTGGTAATTCCATATTCAATCTACTTAAGGGTGACTATAGGCCAAAAAAGTTGACAGCAGAAGGCTCCTCCACAAACGGGATCTGGCTTTCCAGGCGCTCTTTCTCCTCTCATGTGAGCGGCTTTGAATTGATTCTCCGTTCTAGCCCTATATACCCCCGTATCTCCGTCCATCATCCCTGTATATTCCCTGTGCTCCAATTATTGGCATTAGGGTTCTGTGGTTGCATGAGCTTCCAGGCCTGAACCATTCCTAGACACTAGTGGGGCTTAGGGTTTAGGGTTTAGGGCAAACAAGAATAGAGTCCAACATTTTCCTGCAGGAACTATACTGGGATTTTGCTTATGTTCTATACGGGCACATAGAAATATAGTGGAGAGCGAACTGGAAAACAAACTGGAAGCTGGCTTTATAGTGGGCTTCATGGCCATTCGCGGGCACGCCTGAAGAGTTACCAATATCATTTGGAGGCCTACCAATATTATACAAGGAATCTAGGACCTTAGAATCGCTAGTAGAATAAAAGCCCCTGTAGTACTTCTATCCCTCGAAGCTTGAACCTCACCCAACTACTGAACTGAAGTCGATTCAGAATGAAGGCTTTGAAGCCTGATCCAAGTGCCGAACATACATCGACGGGATGCAAGTAGCTCTTGGGCTCAAAAACATACAGAAAACCCGAACTCCAAACTTGAAGTGGCCGAAGGCACCTTAACGGCGACCGCAATGTGCTTATCCTGAGGCAGATTCCAATCATCAACAATAGTGGGTCCGAAAGAAGCAAGTCCTACATAGAGTTTCTACACCACAAGGCGAGCTACCTAGCATTCCAAGATCAGTATACTACAATATGGTTGACTATATAGTAAAATGAAGAATAATGTAGTAGAATATGATATAGTATCCAAGTCTGAATTACATTGCGCCCTTCTGAAGGATGCAGGGTACAAGATGACTCAAAGGCATGCAACCAAGGGACTGTTATCATTGGGAGTTCATGCCTCATTTTGGCTGCAAACTAGCCGGGTTCCACGTGGAGGTTCAGGGTAGGGATAGTCAAACGATAACTGGACTTAAATCGGAACTGAAGCCCCTAAGTCCTCTAATATTGTGATAGTTGGGTTATAGGTACCAGTTATAAATATGTTCTGTTTCTCGCACACCTCTGAGTCGCACATGGCAAACTACAGTTGGAATTATGACATGATACCTTCATCTCAAGATCTCAGGGTGACATAGCCGTACGCATAGGGTGCCATCGCTCTACATGACCTAGATTCTTGGCAATGCTCCCACATTGGACACCCTATATATACACCCTAGACCTTAGACCCTAAACCCTAAAATCCTAACCCTAAACAACTATATAGACTCACCAAAACTCCATCATAACATTCACATACCTTAATCCCGAGGACCTGCCTCCGAGTGGACTCAGGGAGCACGGGTGTAGGTATGCCAAGGTTTAGGGTCTAGGGTTGAGGGCTGATATAGAAGATCACATGGAAAATGACATGGAAACTGGGCTATGTAGGCGTTATAGAAGGGGATATGTACTGTAGAAGCCTGAAGAACTAGCAATATCAACTACAGGAACCACTGGCAAACCAAAGGCTTGCAAGAAGAATGAGCTGGATGACCTAGAGCTTTAAAGGGGTTGCACGGCTGATGCACTTGAGTCCAGACGCCTTAGGCGAACCCAGCAGGCACTCGCACCCTCGGCCCAAATCCTGATCCGCAAAACTATTGACCCCTAGGCTCTGTATCGGTGACCCCTTGCGTAAAGACACCTAGGTACAAAAATGAAACAATGCCAGACAACATAGATGACAAGCCTCTCACGCCACATACAGAGACCAGTCCTTGCTCCGAATTCTGGAGTCTGAACTATCCTGAACACACAGCACAATCCTCATATCACCACCGGAATGAATATAACGTGTGTACATATCTTATGTTCTACCCAATACCTTGTTGACATCGTTCAGACCCCAAAACACCACCAGACAAAGAGGGAGCCTGGGACAGCACCTCGCTTTGGGCGATAGTCCGTGCCATTTCTGTGGAGAGGCAACACTCCTTGCTCAATGAGAGACCATGTTGAGGGGTTTAGGGTTTAGGAATCTGGTGTGGGAGGAAACTTTAGGAGGCTAAGTCTATTCTATTGTTTTGCCCTGTTTTAACCTTCCTAACACAAGGTTTTTGACAACCCTGATGCATCGCAGCACCAAATGGCATTGTCCTTGATCACCCCTTGCTGGCGCTCTGCAACGCAGCGACCAGTCGCCTTCAGTGTGGCATGTTTGGGTGGGGGGATTATGTCAAAATGCGGGGTTCTTGTTTTGCTGGGGTCCTTGATGATACGGGCTACTGTATGTTGCTTTCATCTTGAGAAGTAGTCAGGCCGCGAAGCAAAGTCCACACTGCAGGACGCAGGGCTTTAAAGCCACCATCTAGGAGGGGATAGGCTTTGAGTTTGAGATGTCAGGTTGTAAGGTAGAGTGTCAGATTTAAACCTTCCAGATTTTCTTCTCCAGCCTTTACCAGAAGTCCTAGATCCTATACCAGAGACCCTAAACGCTATGATCCTATCAGTCTGCATGCTATGCCTCCTAGCAGGAGGATTGAGGATATTTAGAGTTTGGCATTTAGGGCTGAGGATCTAGGGTTTTGGGCTTTGGGGTTTGGGACGCAGGGTATCTAGTTTCGGGTTTTGGGCTTAGGATCTAGGGTTTTGGGTTTTGGGGTTTCGGATTCAGGGTATTTAGATTTAGGGTTTAGGGTCTCACGGGAACCATCGTAGACTCCAGCCCAGAATTCCTCCTGAACCCTGCTCTGACATGCACACAATTCCCCTGCAAAGCACAATCTTTTAGTCCAAAAATGATAACCCTAGATTGCAAACAACTTGCTTATGCTAAAACAGTGATGAACCCAAAACGCTTTGAAAGCTGGCGACCTCGCGCTTCTTCTGCATGTGCTCAAGGATCTGACTCCCCTCCCAGCGTCAAGAAATGATCGTGTGCGCATTGGATATGGCAAATGTAGGGGCCAACATGATAGTCAAGACCATTTAGGAGTCTATGCAAGGTACGCTGTACTATAGGCGGTAATTAGGCTCCTATAGTGAGCAGGTGAGGTGGCACCATGGCAGGTGAGTAGCAGTCCTTGCTTGCAGGGCAGAAGCCATATGATCACAAGTCATAGCAGCGCATGGGCACCATCTTGTCATATGGCTCTGGTTGCTTTCAACACTGCTGCTACTGGTGTTTTGAGGATGCCATCATCATCGCAGCAGGATGGGGACCAGCCGCCGCAGCAGCAGCAGCTGCTGTTGTTCTTTATCTTGGTGTCACGCCTACTCGTGTGCCCTCAGGGCCTGCATACATTTTGGGGTTCTGCGGACTTTCGTGCTTTGCAGATGTTACCTCAGCCCATATAAAGAATAAAGGCAATACTGGAGAATCAAATGAAAAAACTGAAATGAAAAGGTAAGTCGGCTTCTAGGGATATGTATAAGAACTGCGTTTTTCGAATTCACGCCATGGCATGTGAGGAAGTGGTGGCTCATACTTACGTCCATGTAACCAGTGCTTCCAATTACCAAAATACCAATGCCGGACAGGATCATTCTGTTTCATCTCCTCAGTGCATTACGTCCGGTTATAGTCCCTGATATTGAATACTTGAACGCTATTGCACTATATAGGTAGAGGGTCTACAGATAAGCTTTGGATTGCCAGGATCATTGCGTGCCAATGTTACTAGTGGATCCAAATAGCAGAGCATCAATGCTAGCTAGATAGCAGTACATCCATGTGACCAACGCATGCTATCACCACAGCATCGATGGGGGTCGGAAAATCCTGCTACCCGGCAGAAATACTACCCCTGACACTGACCACGACGATGAAAACTCTTCTTCCATGAGTTTCCTGTAAGGTTACGCTTCGAAGCCTTCTTGACATGCTGTTGCCACCACAGCCCAAACCCTCGAAACAAGTCATAATCTTAAGCCGATCACAGCATTTTTGCTCCTTCCTAAGGCATACTGTGTAACGTGAAGCCCAAATACAGGACTCCCAGGGCTTCTCTTACCAGTCCAAACACACAGTCACTAGAGAGGGTGTGCTCCCGTTGTTGTTGTTGTAGCAGTCGTCGCAGTAGTAGCAGTATTCACAGAAATTGCAGTAGTAGCTGTGGCAGCTGTAGCAGTAGCAGCACAAGCAGTAGCAGCATAAGCAGTAGCAGCGTAAGCAGTAGCAGCGTAAGCAGTAGCAGCACAGTAGTAGCACAAGTAGCAGTGGCAGAGGCAGCGTGGGGGAAGTAATGGCAAAAGCAGCTGTTGCTGCAGCGGCAGCAGTGGCAACAGCAGCACAACTCAACAGCTAGATGTCAATCTTCGCCCACAGACACAACAGATACTGCTTTTCAACATCTTGAAATACAGGCTCAAGATCAGTTGACTACTGGAGTTCAGCCGCAAACTGCAAAACATTGGGTAACCCAACAGCCTACATCCTGAAGCCATAACACCTGAACTTGCCTCGCTTACCTCTCGTTAGCAAGGGATGAAGCGACTGAATATTCATCATCCCGCACTACTACAGAACAATTTCAGGGGCCTAAGAAGCCCCAAGAGAGCTTTCAAAAGGGCAAGACTACTTTAAAAGGGGGCCACCTAGTAATGAATTAGGGGGCTTTGAAACTATGAATTTGTTCTTTAATTGGTTAACGAACTGAACAATCTCAGTTGACTAAGTATTCAATTCCCAATTAATGCCTGCATTTAATTGATTCAATTCATTGGGTGTTGATTTTCCATTGAGCTTACAGGATTGTAAAGAAGGCCCTATCTAATTGTTTCTATGAATAACCCCTCCTACTATTAAATCGTTTTTCGGGCCTCGAATTATTCAGATCATTTAATAATACGAGGAGGGGGGAGGGGGACGCCGTTGAATACGAAGGCGAAGCGATTAATTAGTCACTATATACCTAACTTTAAAAATGCAAAACGTTTCATTGTTCTTTTCCACGCCTTCAGTCCCTACACCTTAAACCCTAAACCATGCGTTCATTCCCTGCTCATCAAAGGCACGATGGCAGCCGAGCCTTCGCAGCACACTCGGCCGCTGTGATCTTCCTATCCTCGTTGGCCTGCTGGTTAAGTTTTAGGGTTTAGGGTGTAGGGTTCAGGTTTTAGGGTTTGGGTTTAGGGTCTAAGGTTTAAGGTTTAGGGACTGCTTGGAAGCAAAATTCCGAAGCCAACGTGGCAGCTCTCGGCCAAGACAAGCGTGGGAGCTGACTGCACTGACGGCAAGCGAATAAAAGAATATGCAACAAGCAAAGGGCGTGTAAGTAAACCAATTCAGTTCGCTGCATCTGGGGCGCTCAAGAAATGTGCCCTCCACAGCATGCAAGCCGTAAAATACGAAACCCCTGAAAATCAAGACCTGGGCTCCACACTCTGCCCAAAATCCTAAACCCTATATGTATATATGTATATATATCCCCTATAGACCCCTTCAAAGGTACCCCTAATTTTGGCAAACCCCACGAGAAAAAAAATCACCTCCACATCCTCTGCTCTCTCTGCTGGTCGGCCTCAGTGCCTCTTTCCAGCTCAAGGTCGGCTTCGCCCAGGGATTCCTCCACCTTCTGCCTGCATGCAGCTCAGTTGAATAGATGTTTAGTGATTGATACCTAAGAGTCTTCAACAGGGGTTATATAGGGGTTATATTGAGGTTATATAGGGGTGATATTGGCGTTAATTTGCAGATTGCTTTAGTGCTCGGCAAGATAGCCTTCAGGGGTAGGGTTCGACAGGTTAAGGAATTCAGGCGCAGAGGGTTGGATTTTACAATGTCAACAACACGTGATAGATTCTCGTGGATATATAATCGCAGAAAGCCAGTGACCAGCAATGTCTAGCCAGTGCATGGCTTTGGATTTCACAGTTCTTTCTTCTATCCCTGTGTATACTAAATATCCCTATACAATACCTACCTTGGAACCCCAGATTTGAATGCATCAACTAGGCACCACCTGCTCTGGTTGCCGTTCGCTGGGAACATCCTTTTGTCAGTAAAGTCCCTATGCCAAAGCTACGGCAGTCTCCGAAGGGTTCCTAAGGCACCCTAAACCCTAAACCCTAAACCCTGGCCCAGGGTTTTAAGGCTTTCTGCGCAGGCCGCGTTCCTAGCTACACGGTCACAGGCTCAAGGCATTCAGATTCCTAACTGCGAGGGTTTAGGTTTTAGGGTGGACGACATCATACACCGCCCCAAGTCCTGACCCCAAGAACTTCAAAATGCATTCACGGGGCGAGATATCCTTGGAAGTGATTTGCCAAGCAAGAATATGTGCATATGGCACACGCACAGACACACGTTCAAAAGAGCGCAGATGCCCTGACCTCTTTTTGAACTTGAGGGCTCTCAGTGGGATTTGGTCTGATAGCGCTGCGCAAAGTCTCACTACACAGGATCGGTCGTGTTGCAAGCGACACCATTCTGTGCCCAGATCAGGAAGCCTCTTGTAGGAGCAAGTTCCCTCTCTACTTTCCCATAACTCTCCAACTTCGATGCAAATGTGTCAGGCTCTGCCAGAACCATCTTGAAGCCCAGTGGATACGTCCCACTGGCTCACCAGCACGGTGGCGTCTTTAGCACCAAAAGTGGTCCGCTTGTCTTGGTGCGTCAATCCAGAGCCCCTAAACGAACGTCTTGACACCAGAAGATCACATCATAGCTTGGTGAACTTCAACCCTCTTCTCAACCCACTACCTTGAGATGACTTACACTCTCATGCACCTTAATTCCAAGACCCAACCCTGTTCACTGCGGCCCCCACAACTGGATAGTGCTCTTCTGAAGCACCGCCTTTGCTCGGTCTTCTTCAAGAAGAGCTGCCTGACAAGTCGAACGAGCATAGGTCTCTTTGCGCGCTTGGGGCGAGATGACCATCAAAAACGACCTCCAAGAAAAGGAGGCTTGAGAACACACTCCATAATTGTTCAGCAGTGTCTGTTTCTTGAAATGGGAGCTTCCGATTTCCCGAGCGTCCCTCGGATACCGCTACTTCCAGAAACCCCACATAAAAAGCTTGATGTACCAAGTTTTCAGCGAGAGTTTGGGCGGCTTCAGTTGACGCATAATAGACTAGCGGAAGATGGGGGGTATACTTACAAGCTATCCCAGAATCCATGTAGCAACCCCACGTATCCCCGTTATAGGGGTGCGATTACGGGCTTTACATATTCTTCTATGATCTTGACAAGATTCCATATGCAATTTACCCCAATTCTTCTTGCATGGACTTTCAGAAAGAGACCCTTGATGTGTAGAAACACACCCGTATCAAAATCCGTAACAGCCGTCAAATCGAATCATCCAGGCAATTCTCTCCAAGCTTCCCTTGCCAGAGCAAGACCCCAACCGTAAAAGACAACTACCCATCAAGCCCCCTATGAACCCCAAGCCTCCAAACCAAATCCCAAGCCCCGAATCCATAGTCCAGATGATAAACCCTAAACCCTAAACCCCAGATGATAAACCAAAAAGTTGCAGGCCTCAAGTTCGCGACACTTTTTCTCCGTGTGCTCCTTGGCCTTAGCCACCTGACCAGCTAAGCAGCTTATTTAAAATAGCAATAATAATAGAATACTAATCATGGCCATAATAATAATAGAATACTAGCAATAGTACTAATAATAATAACAGTAATAATTAGAGAATAGTTATTAATCATAATAACAGTAACAATAATGAAAAATAGCCTTGGAGAGCAATGTTGATAATGTTGATCTAATGTAGTGAGGAGTTGAGGTTCATCCTAGAGTGATGCCAATGTACCTGGCCAGCAGTAAAACCACAACTCTGGCTATTTGATACCCGCCCCCAGGTAACCTCAGGCGTTCGCAGGGTGATTTCTACCAATGGAGTTGCTCCCCGCCTTCCCAAATCCTAAACCTCATTATAGTAGTTTCCACTTCCTTTTCCATGATCCCTTTATTAGCACTGTTATTAGTACACTAACCTACATTATCCCAATATTCCCTCAGGTGTTAGGAAGACATGTTCTGGACTGCCCAAACCCGGAATAAGCCTGTTGTCCCTTAGCTGAAGTATGAAAGAGGCGTTGGATCTAAGATCAGGGCGGCAAGGACATGTTCGGAGAAATTTAATCTACCAGTTTGGCCTGCTGTATACATAAAGGTGGACAACCCCTAAGAGTTTAGGGTTTAGGGAAGGTGGACAACCCTGGAGTGTGTCGTCACTCCTGAGGTCTGATGTGATGCATTCAGCAGTTGATGATCCTATGCCGGGCACCTAGACACAGATACGCTACAACATATTGCACACATCTGACAAACTTGTTCCTCATCAACGCATTGCCCAACGGGTTCTACCATTCCACTATACTTCACTGCATACAGTAGACTCTCATCTGAATTTCGCTGAAAGTTTAGAAGAAATGCAATGTTTGTGGTAGAGGGTTGTGCGGGCGTTTAGGGGTTGATAGTGATCACCCTCATCCACAATTTCTGCCTGTCAGGAAACCTGCACAAGAGAGCTTCAAAGAACCGCAGACAAAAATACTTTTCAACGAATAAGCCAGTGCTGTTGGCATGTCGGTCCACGAAAGCATCAGGCCCGCGTCAATGTGTGAACCACATTCACAAGTCTACTGCAGCGGCGCTGCAGTGAGAACCACAGCAGAAAACACTGGCACAGACACTAATTATGCATGAACATTCCGCACAACACAGAGAATTTCACTCAGCGCAGCTAATGCAAGCCCCACTGCGCTTCAGCTACACGTCTACATCTGCTAACTTGTATCTTTACGTCCTGCGCTAGCCTGGCGCCAGCGCCAGCACCAGGACCACCGCCGCCACCACCGCCGCCACCGCCACCACCGCCACCACCGCCCCACCACCACCACCGCCGCTGCCACCCCTACCACCACCACCACCACCAACACCACCACTACCACCACTACCAATCATCAAAAACCGGCAACAATAGCAACACCAACACATCTGGGTCATCGGTCTCTTCATAAGTTCTACTTGCGAATACACACTTGCTAGAACGTCATTGCAAAATAGATGCGATGCCGTGATTCATTACACGACCAACTTCTACAAGCGGCTGTAGTTCTTAACTTCATACTGCGACTGCTACCAACTTTTACACAATGCCATTTATAGCTACCGCTGGCTACTGCTATGACGACGGCGACGTGTACCACTATACTACTGCGTATTACTACTTGCTCTAACCTAGTACCTGCTACCGGCGGCTTCTACCACCGCTTTGCCGCTTCCAATCACCAACTTCCCAAAAAGTCGCACACGCACTTCAACAGCCTAATTCTCAACAATCTCAGTCGGCTCTTCGACTGCCCGCCTGCTCCTCGTTCTGCATCTTCCGAGCGACGAGCTGGCATCAGGAAAATGTTAGGTAGTTTCGGGCTGAGACATATGGAGACAGGAATGCGAGATTACCATCGGTGTCCTCGCACGGGATGTAGTACAACACTACTCATGCCTGCCAGAAGATGTCACCAACTGTATCATGTCAGAACATCTCTTCTAAACACAAAGGTTGCATGTATGAATAATGGTCTGCTTTGTGCATGTCTAAAAGAAGCCTTGCTTCGATTCGTGAAAGGAGAAGCTCTTCAGAAGATGCTAGATAGTCAGGTGGGCGTTGAAATTCCTTCTTGAAGCTACAAAACCCACCCACCATAGCTGCCCAACAAGCGCCATCAACCGTCTGCACTTCAGCTTGGGGCGCCGATGCCTTGAAGGGCAAGCCCATGTATAAAACTCTATGGACGGCTTTATAATCCCTGTCCATTCAACTGTCCATTTCATGCTCCATTTGACGCTCCAGCATTCCATTGCTAAATCATCTAGACGCCTATATGAGCTACAGTCTAAACTTCTAGCATCCCCCTTTACAACTAGTAGAGTACTCCCCTATCATGCCCTATATTACCCCTTTTAAGGAGTTTAGACTGTGGCTCATATAACCCCTACATACCTGAATATAACCCAAGGCCAGGCCCACCGTTTGCTTCATGTCGGCAAGAATGTTCACGTCTTCCCTTGGATTGCAGGGAATAGGGCGAGGTGTATTGAGCTTTGGGAATTCAAGGAGCCTTCATGGGCGGCGCCCTAAAACGAGAGAAGCCCTCCTAAACTCCGAACTCTACGTAAGGATTGGAAGAAAGGAAAGTGATCGAAGCCGTTGAGTTCTCACCCCCGGTTCGAGGTAAGTTTTGAGAGGCGCTTCCGGAGATGCCACAACAAATCTGAGCTTCGCTGCAAGACTTGCAGGCTTCCGGTGATTTAAGCCAAAACTCCTAAATACCTAAAGCTGCCTGAGCGATACATACGACAGCTACAAACGCCTGGGGTTTGGGGAATACCCTGTAGTCCAATTGATGCGAGGAGCCAAACTACCCCATGCTCTGTCACCCTGCTCCTCGGCATCCTATGCACTTGTGGCCATCCGCGCATTGATTTGCAGGTTGCCGGGCACAAGGAAATACCAAGAAGAAACCTAAAGCCTAGATCACATATCCGGCTGCTAGATCTGTTGAAGCAAGAAGGTACCGACAAGTTCTGCCAACGCAGAAGCTGCCCCACGTTCTGGAAATTCTACAGTTCCATCACCATGGCTTGGCACCTGAAAAGCCCGTCTTTGCCTTTTAGTAAGTGCAGGCTTCAGGTTGTGGTAAGCATACAGTGGTGATTATTTTTAAAGGTCAAGGAAAGGCGATAAGGAGGAAAGGGAGACGGCAAAGCGATAGAGGAACGTGGGGGAATGGCAAAGGCAAGGGCCCAAGCAGGCACAAAGACAAAATGCAAAAAAGTACAGACAAAAGCAAAATAAAGGAAAGTATAAGAGGCTGATAACGGCAACGGTTGCTGCAAACATAAAAGCCAAGGTACAAATTCATCAACATCTGAACACTGCTAGCGGGTGGATAGCGGGGGTGGGCTGCCGTGGGTGCAGGGATTGTATAGAGCTTACCTTGGGTTTACGGATCAATGCTTCATGGACATCAAACGGAAAAGAAACGGAAAATAAAATGGAAACTGAGGATTCTCTGGAAATTATATATGGATTAAGGAACCTAAATTAAGTTACTATTCTGAGGACACCATATTTATCATTACACAACAAGTTCATGGTCACTCAACTTGAATTCCCTACTGTAGTTGACCTCATATTAACCCCCTCGCCGGTTGCAAAATCCAATCTGCCAAAACGCAAAAAAATTGGAAGCGCCGGAAGAGCAATGTGTACTACTGGCTAATGATACTATTGGCTACGTGAAGCTCCAGCTCATGGAGCTACGGAGGCTTGGGCCCACATCTTCGGCGGGGCGGGGGGGAGGGGGGTTTCTTATCATGAGGTGAACATTAACTCCTAGTTTCCAATTGATGGCCAATCCTCTCCTCAGCCCAAACCCCAAACCCTTCAAGCCCCAACCCTAAACCTTAAAGTTTAAAGACTGAACCCTAAACCCTAAACTCTAAACCCTAAACCCTGAACCCTAAACCCAAAACCCTGAACCCTAAACCCCAAACCCTGAACCCTAAACCCTAATTTAACCAAAGTTCCTTAACAGCAACCCAAACTTAGCCAAGGATCTGCACAGCAGCCAGCTTCGCGTCTGCTTCCTGGCCCTGGTACCTAGGTTATGGTTGAGGGGTTCAGGGCTCAGGGTTTAGGGTTCAAGGTTTTTTTTTATGGAGCCATTTCTCCATTTTAGGGTTCAGGGTTTACGCTTTAGGGTTTAGGGTTTAGGGTTTAGGTTTCAAGGTTCAGGGTTCGGGGTTTAGGGTTTAGGGTTCAGGGTTTAGGGTTTAGAGTTTGGGATTTATAGGAGACCCTTAGCCCTTTATGGTACTACGGCACCAGTGCGGTTGATGCAGGAAATCTCGCACCACTTACGGCCCCCAAGAGTAACCTAGGCATTCTCGCACCTAGAAGGGTGCAAGAATTCCTCCATCAATGGTATGTTGGGTCTTTCCTCCTCCCAGTATGTGTCCTTAAAGGGGCCTTACTAGGGGCCGATCGCATTGTTGCACGGGAGTACTTACTGTGTAGAAATGGGGAGTTAAGGGCTCAGGGCTCCTCGTTTCGGGCTTAGGTATAAATCAACATGGAAAAACGCTACCCAACAAAAACCCAGGTGCTCATTCCTCCCCAGCTGCTTCTCAACCTTGGACAGTACTTGCGGCGTCGGGAAGGATTAGTACGCGGCTTATAACGGGGCTGAGTGGGGTCACTATATGGCTTATAGGCTACATTGCTACATGGCTTATACGGGCTACGAGTATACTTACCTAGTCAGAGCCTCCGTAGGAGATTTCAGAGGGTTGGGGCACCTTAATGGGGTGTGGGGAAACGTAGGATCATGCTGGAAGCATATGGACATTTCTGCAGGGTTAAGGGTTTAGGGAAGCATATGGATATTTCGGCAAATTAAGAATCTCAACAAAACGACTCAACTATGGCCCTTGCTGTTCTGGTCGTTTCCATAGGTCTTGGCAACCCAAGATAGACCCCAGCCTACTACAATCCTTATTGTAGGGACCCCCAAAGAGGGACGCCTAGTTTATAGAAAACCCTACACCTGAATCCCTAACAATCCCATGTACCCCTATATTCCCGCATGTACACGCCCTTTAAGGCAACGCAAAAATTCTGGAAACCCCTGCTTGTAGGAACACCAAAACGTGGACCAACAACTTGGACGGCACTCCAGTGTTTAGAGTACAGGGTTTGGGCTTTAGGGTTGGAGTCTAGGGTATAGCGATCAATCACTTCGAACAGTCTGACACATGTCTTTGCTGAAGGGACACTGCACAAATTCAAACTGCACTGTGCTGTTGCTTCAGGACGCTGCCAAAAATTAAGCCCGCAGTCCAGTAAGACAATAAACCACCACACACCCGCTAATCATGACCATTCATCTTGCTATATAATCGTACTATTGCGGGAGTCTTGGGGTGATAGGGTTATGGGTTCACTTCTTTGATCTTGTGCGTCTCGGTTGGCAATGTACATTGGGCATGAGAGCAAACGACGGCAGCAAATGGCAATTGATTTTACCACTACTAGTAGTATGCGCCTTGTTCAGGCTTGTTCGCTGGAGACGCGGAGCGGCTAGTACGGGACCGTTTTTCTGAATGCCTCACAGAACTCAGGACCCAAACCAGAACAACACACGCATCGTCCAAACCTGAGAATTGTGCTGAAACTTCTAACGGAAAAACCTCTGGAAAGAATGATTTGTATCAGGAAAATGTTGGAGCCCTTGGCTCCCGGCTCCGATCCCCTGCACAAGGACCCCCAGAAGACCCCGCGGCCTCCAGCTCATACAACTTCAGGTCTTCGATGAGCTTGTGTAAGTTTGGCACTCTACTTATGCGCAGCCTCACTTGAAACCGTCTGCTGTGGCAGGGTCCCCGGTCTCTGATTCAGAAATAGCGGCCCTGCAAAAATCTACGTAATTCCAATGGGCATATATAGGGGTTATGAACCACAATGGGCATATATAGGGGTTATGAACCACAAAAAATCAAATTGATTGTTGCCTTGAAGGTCACAGCTTTAGTGGGCTTACGCTTCCCGCCAAAGACAGGCTGGAGAACCCGCGGCGAATCTTTACAAGGCACTGCCTGCGAAGTAAGCCTTCTTCTGCTGGTATCAACCATGTGAGGGTTTCCCAAAATTAGGGGTACCGTTTTGGGGTACCCATGATAACGAGTTACTGTAAATATGTTGGGGTCTGTATTGGGGTCCCCCTATTTGGGAAACTACCGGGTAACTCCGCTCAAGATGGATTTTTGATCAAAGCTCGGCTACAAATCCTTCCGAAATCAGGGTTTGGGGTCGAGACAGCTGTAGTCGTTCCGAGCGGTTGCTTTTGCGGCTACGGTTTAGATTTTTCGTCCTGGAAAAAATCGACTATTCTGGGACACTTGCATGGAAAAGTACTTCATACAAGCCTGCGAAGCATGGTTAGGAAGACTGTATCGGCAATCGCCATGAAACTTATGCTGTACATGTAAACCTGTGGAATCCGGGGCAAGACCAAAACGCCAATCGATTAGCCACTGGCATGAAGATAGCTTTTGTTTCGAGGTTTGACTGCCAAGGCTTTGGGTGAAATTCAGCTTCAAGATTGAAAGCTTGATGAAGCAGCCTGTTTTGTTGAACTCTTGGTGTGCATATATGTATATATAAAAATAGATACTGATATGTATATATACATATATATATATCTCTCTCTCTCTTCTATCGAAACAATATCTTAAACGTTTAGGGTATACAGTTGTGCTACAATTACCTTGCACCCTAAAACCCAAACGCTACATCCTAATTGTAATCAAGTTTCAATGAGCGTCAACTATGCTCGTGTGATCTCGGCCAGGTTATACCACTTCTCATCTGTTGTAGCCGCCATGCGTTTTCACCCGGGGACCAGCTGTGAGGGGTGGCCCAGATCTTGGGGCTGCACGCCACTCAATATCAACATCACCCCGCACCTCTTGAGCTAGGGTTTAGGGTTTAGGGAAGTTCTTGCATAAATATCATATGGCTTGGAAGCTATAAGCAAAATGCGGCTCAGGTACAACGCGTCCAGAGCGGGCCTGACTGACCAGGTTTTCAAGGATCTGTGGGGTTGGGAATATCTCCTTTGAGTGCGTGGTCCCTTGTTTGAACCAGTGTGCTTGAAATATCAGCGAGGAAAACCTCTGGGATTTCATCGGCCACACCCCAGCCAACCAAGCTCAAAATAAAAACAACGAAAGCAAAGAACTTTGGGCAAGAGCCCCCTCCAATAATCAATATTTCCCCTACTCCACATCATGGGTTTAGGGCTTAGGGTACTATATAACCCCAGTTTCCATGTCATTTCCATTTGCAGTATGTGAGTAATATCCCTAACAATCTTCCCTCTACTATATATAGTAGTAGTCGTAGTACTTGGCTTAGGTCCGTCCGCTAGCTAAGTGAAATGAGCCTGCAACTTTCAAAAGCATGGGCGAAGGCGGTGTGGAATTGAAAAGCCACAAGTTAAACTTCCCTTATCCCTTTGCAACTGCGCGTCTCGAAGCTCGGAATTATCCCGAGTCAGGCACTTTGAGACATGATTCAAAGCAAAAGCAATTTGTTGTCCAAACTACAATTCGGAAGTCGTGTAGCACAACCCATATCGACGAACAACTTTGGGTATGCATACAAAATCAAGAAGAACTAAAAGAACGTGTCAAGCCAACTCCTTTCAATCCCCGCAAGCCTGCAAACAAATCTCACACTGTCACCAATATGCCACAAGATCAACCCCATCAGTTCCAGCCTCACATGGGTCTGGACAAGAATGGCTTCAAGACATCATCTTCAAGGGTCATGGGGACTTGGTAAGCAGGTCCCAAAATGGGGATAACTGCGGATATTGTATGGCAGGGTTATGACTTGATCCACCAAGATCCCTCAACCGGCTGATGCGCGAATTTTCCTTCTCTGTTTGCATCGAGCTTCAAGACGTCTTTCTTATGAAGCATGAGCCACCTGAGTCTGATTTGAGAGTTTAGGGTTTAGGGTAAGGGGTCTAGGGGTTATAGTCTAGGGTTAGGGCTTGGGGTTTAGGGTTCCGGGTTGATGTAAAACTTGGGAACTAAGGTGTTGAGGTTGGCTGCTACCAACTGCAATCACATCAGCGAAAATCTCTTTGAAAGAGCCGACGATGAGTCCTATCTGGTCCAATCCTTGTGCAAGCCTAAACCCCAAACACTAAACCCAAACCCCTCTGGAAAGACATCCTTCTACTCTGTTCAGTGATTCCTTCTTGCCCCAGCTCTACTTGAAGGTTTAGGGCTTTTCTATCCCGGTTAACTGTATGACGAACCCAACGATAAAACCCCCTTGGTCCCCTAACATGGTTTAGGATTTAGGGTTTAGGATTTAGGGTTGCAATTAGGTTATAGTAACCCTGAACCTCCAAGTACACCCGCGCACCCTGCATTCCAAACATGTCCTGCCTGTACCATCCACAACCAACAGGCACCCCGGGCGGCATGATTCCTAAAGGACTAGTAAAACGGAAGGCATTACAATTTCTGACTCCGTTGTATTGATCATCCCTTTGATGCTGGACCGGACATGCTACGAACAATGTAAGCGTAAAACAACTTTGGCGAATGCCTGCACATTCAGGAACTTGAAAAACATTCAGCTTGCGAATCGAGGGCTAAAAGGCGTTGTAATGCTACAATTTTGATCCAAGATGACCGCGTAAGAAAATTGCTGCTTGTATCGCCCGCGGTGCTTCTTGGAAACATCCTTCTCCTCGGGAGTCATGGATTCGACTGCCTGCGCCAGCTGAGTTAATGCCGTAGGTGCTCAAGAATTCAAGGCGCCCTAAATCCTAAACCTTCAACTTTAAACCCTATAAGGTTGGCAGAAGTTGCTTCAAAACAATCCTGTTCTGTACAGGCCCAGGGCTTTCTTCTCAAGACGATCCAAACAGTTACTGTTGAAGAATTTGAACTAAGTTACCTTGAACTAAGCTGCCATAACCAGAAGCCATACTATTTAAAACTTTAATCCCCTCAGTCTAATACTAGCCTTGAAGCAGACCCCAAAACACTTGAACCCCAAAACCCCTAAACCCTGGACCCTCAACCTCAAGCCCTCCTGGAACCCGACCTAAACATAAACCCCCTTGCCGCACCTTGTCCAGATACTTGGCACCCTGAGGGCATGCAGAAATCAGGATCTTGGGTTTCATGTACACGGGCTGAGAACCGGATTTAACTTTGGGATTTAAGGGTTTAGGGTTTAAGATTTAGGGCTTAGGGTTTAGGGTTTAGGGGTTTAGGGTTTAGGGTGTAGGGCTTAGGGTTTAAGGTTCTGGGGTTGTTGCGGATCCCAAGAATATACGGGGACTTGGTAGGGATCATAGTCGTCCCCGTTGCAGATTCTAAAAGCATTTGAAATGGTCAAGGCCTAAGGCCGGTCTGACGTTTTTCGTTGTAGGGCTTAGGGTTTGGGGATTTAACCTTCAACCCGACGCCCTAAACCCTAAACCCTTAAACCCTTTTTCTGAACTTGAAGAATTCTATTCTGGAGGGAACAAATCCCAATCAGCACTGCGGCCATCCTTCTGGAAACTAGGATCGAGTAATCTTATGCAGACATAAGGAGGTGTCCGGAAATTAGGGGCCCCATTTAAGCCCTTTTCCAGATTGAATTGGCAAACCTATTCCCTCGATGCAGGAAGTGGCGTGTCTCTTGCAGATTTCTGAAACACTTAACGAACCCTGAGACAAGGACATCTTATTCTGAAACTAACACATAAGGCCCATCCCAAACTGCTACGTACCCTGAAGCCGAAACCCAAACATCTAAGCGTCTAAGCCTCGAACCCCAAGGCCTACCACCCAACCCCTGCCTCCTCGCTCTCATAGACTCGCTTCAAGAGCTGATCACGCTTCCCCTGCAGAGGTTCTCAGCCCTCATTGAATTCGTGTCTGACAAAATGTTTGCTGGTTTGGGAGTTATGGTTTATGGTCCCCCTTAAGTAGACAGAATAAGGGGTATATGGGCATCTTAATATAATATACCCAGAGCCATATTCTATCTACTTAAGGGGGACTGTAGGCCAAGGGCAGGCAGCTTGGCTTCAGATGTGAAAACAACAGAAAAAAGCTTAGCACTTGGCCTCAAGTTTCAGGGGCCAAGCGCCACGCAGTTCAGGGTCTAGGGTTTTAGGCTTTTGGGTTTAGGGCTGTGACTGTGACGCAGACCCTTGGAGGGCGTAGAAGCTGGGAAGCACTAAAAGCAGCCGCGGCCTGAAACCAATCAATAATAGTAAGAAAAAACAGTAGTAGTAGTAGTAGTAGTAGTAGAAGTAATAATAGTGACAATAATAACGTGATTAATTAGGTGTGTGTTCTAGAGGTCTAGTTCTAGGGTCTGGGCAGGTGCTGCAAGGCGGGAGGTTAGGGACAAGGGCATCCGGCAAAGATCGAGGGATGGGAACTCATGTGCTTACTCGGGCTTCCCTGGGATTTCCGAAAAGAAAAATTCATAGACTCATCTGAACTTGAAGAAATTGAGTCAATGCATCCTTAGGATTTTGGGTTTTGGGTCTTGGATTTTAGCGTCTCATGGTCAAGTCTAAGCTAAGTGTTCAGTTCGTTTCGGCCTGAGCAGGCTCGTCCCAGGACTTCAGGCAAAAGCTGCTGCAGCTGGCTGGGGCAGGCAAACTGAGGTCCTACTGCTATAATGCAAACGGCGCCACGGTTCTCCAAATGGTGGGTCTCAATGCGCACCAAGCAGCTGCAGGATGCCCCCGAAGGGAACAAAATGCAAGATCCATGCAAACAGCAGAACCAAGCTTTGAAGCACTGCGTGAAAAAAACGTTGCTGTAGAAACTGCTCAAGCCTAACCTAACGAACTCCCACACCCTGGGAATCGTGACGTTGAAGCGATTCTGATCCTTTCAACCCTGATACATATCCCCTGTATAACGCCTACATATGAGCTATAATCTAAAGTTTTAGTATCCGCCTTGTAACCCCTATCATACGCCCCTATATAACCCCCTAAATGAACCCCTTTATGGAGTTTAGATTTTGGCTCATACCCTCAATAATATGACCCTTGTTTAACCCTATTGTCCCTAAACCCGCAAGGTTGGCCGTCTTGCGGAGACCCGGTCCCCCCCCCTCCTTGCTGAAGAATTGTTTCAGAAGATCGGTCCCATGCTTCAAATCCTGTCAACTTGAAAGCTCAGGCTCAGGGTTTCGGGTTCAGGATTTAAGGTTTAGGGTTTAGGTTTCTTGGTGCGGCTTGGGGCGCATACTCTGGCTTGGAAGGTGATGGAAGCCTGCAAGACGCAGACAAACTTTCTATACTGCTCTCGAACTTAAAAGCCTGCCAGATTCCTTCTACCAGTACGATCGCGTTGTTCTGGACAACATCGTTAGGCTTGTCAGAAATGAGCTGCTTGGGGCACCTGCTGCTTCTCAACCCCACCATGAATGTCAAAAGTAGGCATGTAGATTTCATGAAACGTCTTGCAAGTCATGCGCTGAACAGCGCGGAAAGTATAACCATGGCAGAAAATGCATAAATATGTTCCCCACATTCCCCAGCTGGTCATCGCCATGTTCCGCGCGAGGCAGAAAAAGAAGACCCCTGCGCTCTGGATATGTCTGGATCGCACAATGAGGAGTAAGTACCTTTCTGGGTTCCTAAAGTAGGAAGATTGTAGCATATTGTTCTATTTTGGGACACCCGTTTTACGGAAGCTCCCATTTAAAGAATTATCCGCAGCCTTGTATCCCCTAAACCCTAAACCC